CAGAATGTTGATTTCCACACTTTTGCAGCAGCATTAACTGGCGGTAATATCAAAATTTCAATATTCTGTACATGACCTTACCAGTGCCGATCCATCAAAGTAATTTCTCCTAATTTGTCTGACTTTGATGTGTCCCCTCTGGCCCCACCACCAGCATCTTCATCACAGATAAGGTGTTCCAGAAAAATATTTCAACCACTCAAGACCTAATGAGGAGAACATTCATTTTTGGGATTGCCATGTATTTCTTTTAATTAATAAAAGCTTATTTCTCGCTTGGGGAACATTACAGATTTCAAACATGTTTTCGATGATGTTGAATGTGCCCTAGAAAGTGATACGGAGGAATGTGGAGGGATCCTGTTTCACTTCTTTGGAGAAACAGTCTGTGACTCAAAAGATTTTCTTTTTCTTTCATTGTCAGTTTTAACCTTTGTGAGGTTCGTGTTGGACTTTAATCCCGACTGTCTCTGATTATCTTAGCGAGAGAGCGTGTGCAGTAACTGATATGTTCCCCCTATCTGATACTCTATCTCAGCCCCCTCCAGCGATAAGGTGAAGGAAAGGTCCAAAAGTCAAATCTCTCACCTGCTATGGTGAAATTAGCAGGGTGTTATTATCTCCCCTTGTGGATTAATGTATTGCTTTTTATTGTTTATATAAAGTTTTTTTTATTGATTGTAGTATTGCTTGTTAAGTACTTTGCAAGGGTTGAAAATGGTGCCCAAAATGTAGCTTATAATTGTTTCCGACAAGAAACTCAAGAGTAACAAAAACAACCTGCTTGGTCAGCCTCTTTCTCTCACTCCACCATCTCTCTCTTCACATCTCTCTGTCTCCACTTGAAACAGTTGTCTTCTTTTTCTCAATCAGTTTCTTTTGTCGGCGCGTTAAAGAGCCGCTCAAATGTCATGAGCTGTCAGGCTAGCTCATCTTTCCATTCTTATCTGGGAAGATAGCGAGAATAACAAGATTGTAGAGGGAGTGCATCTATGGTTGTCAGCTGTCGTTCTGAGAAGGCAGTCGATTTCCACCACATTTACGTGAGAAGTGGCAATGCTTACATTACCTATACATTTAAACAAAGAATGTCTCTATGCTGTTTCTTCAGAAGAAATCACCTTTGATGTATTTCAACCGCAAGCCCAGAGATATGCTCCCCACATTTTCTCCTCGTGCGACTGTGGCATGTTCGGATGAAGCAGAAAGAGACTTAATCGACAGCCAGCTTTTCTGTTGGTTTTCTGAGGGCTCTGTCCAGGCTTTTGGAGTACATTGTTCATTCTTCCTTTATTATTTTCTAAGGCAGATGCAAGTGGTGACTCAGTAATGGACCATTAGCATTGTGCAGGATCTGTCTCCTATGCAGTCATCATTACTGAACCACATTAGGCATGGAAACTAGTTCTGAGGAAATCCATTTAGCAAGAGCCTGGCATGGCCTGCTGAATTCCCTCTGAAAAAGGATATCTGTAGTTACAGCGCTGTGGGTGCTTCTGGCAGATATCTGCATTCAATAGATTTCTGCTCTCTTGGTGGAGGTGTATAGTCTCAGCCACTGAGGTAGGCTCTCTTATCTTTACACTCAGACCAGATGATGAAAAAATTGCTTGGTGTAACTTTACAGCTAAACTCTGGGGAGCACAGCAAAGGATTGCTGGAGTTAGCAGCACAAGATAAAAGTTATGAGGCTTTAATCAGAACTTTAGTGCTACTCCAATTATTTTAATTTCAGAAAGGGCTCTTGCTTCCGGTGAATATTAAGATGAATGCTTTGCTATGCATGTCTTTGTCTTGACTGTTTTGCGTATTGGTTTCCCAGATTTATTATGCAGATCTAGAGTAACCTTCCTCGTTAAGCCTTAATGCCAGCCATTCATTACCTCTGGCACAGAGACTAATGGCACTATTAATCAGCTATGAAAAGAGCTTGGCAGCGGCAGTGGGAGGCTGACGCCTTCTTACAGTAACAGTTTTAGGCATGCAAGTACAAGACAGATTGTCAGAAGGACACCGAAAACTGCCCCGCATGTCAATTACCTACAGCTGACGAGGTGTATAAAGATAGAAACTACATCTAAAGACCCTTTGCCTATCCCACAATGCATTTCTCATCAGGCTATACTATATTTCTACATCTGACCTGGCACTGATTTCAGGACTATTTTTTACTGAACTGCTGTATTCCTTATTGCTTTACCCAACTGTGAAACCTTTTTTTTTTCCACAGCCCCACTTTATATTAGTTTTTCTCTAAAATGCCTCCTGTATTACAGTTCTGTATGCCTTTCGGAACAAAGCCAAAGTGGAGGTTTTCTTTCTAAATGTGTCTGCACATACATGTCTGAAAGCTTGGCTCCACTTCTGTCATGCCTTCATTCCTTTGTCTCAGTCAACAAGCAGTGGCTCTACTCCAGAATACGCTAAACTAAAATAAACTCCATTTGCACACATGGGATCCCGTCCTTCTTGTATAGTATTGTATAGTAGCAATTTCAAGGAACCTTAACTTTAGAGTTGCCAAGCTGATTTCATGTGTGTTTTATCTCATCCTTTTACTGACCACAAAGATAAGAAATGTTTTACATGGAGTTTTAAATAAATTATTCTGCAGCTGCAACTACAAACTATAATATCACATGCCTTTATTGTGTTATTAAGCCGGTAAGAAAGTCAGTCAGTCGGTCGGTCATTTCAACGTCTGTGTTTTGGTCTGCTATTCCTCAGTTTAGCAGCAGGATTTCTTCAAATATTTTGACTGCATTTTTGATACTGTATGTATTTTCTTGATCTTTCACCCATATTTCCTTTCTGTGTAAACCATTCCCAATATTACATTTAGCGTTTCACTTTGTTTTGATAGTGTTTTAACGTGTTTTTATGTGTTTATTTTGTATTCTCACCACTTATAATCCAATATGTTCCTGGGATTGTGTTCCAGTCACAATTTAGTTATGCAGGAAAGTGCTTCCTCCACAACAAACAGGCCTCAAGCTCTTTGTTTATCCTCCAAAGCGGCTTATTGTCATGTAGTGATGGCCTCATCATAGGACACCAGAACCGTGTGTGTGTGTGTGTGTGTGTGTGTGTGTGTGTGTGTGTGTGTGTGTGTGTGTGTGTGTGTGTGTGTGTGTCTTGTTAAATGAGGATAATGGTTCAGCATCTGGTAATTTACACGGCAGTCAAAGAGTATTAGGCCAATTATATGTTTTCCTCAGTTTTTGGCTCGATCCCAGCTAACTGGATTTGTTATGAATCAGTAACTTTGAGGTTGAGTGTTGACGTCCAGCTTTAAGGTTGTTTTAGGTTGTTGGGTGACTAGTCCTATCCCTTTATGAACATTAATCACCCAACCTTTTCCTACAAAAAATACAGACAAGGCATTAAAAGTGTTTGCCAACCTGTGGAATAATCTCGACTGGCCATCAGTCACCTGAATCAATCCATCTGATTCCTGCTTGCCAAAAACCTGACTGAAGGCGGCCTGGAGATATTGAGTGTCTGCTCATATCTGCTGTAGCCTCTGCCAGACATCGACTTTGCAACCAAACCTCATAAAAGAGGAATTGATTTTGTTTTAGGTTTGTGTCAAATCATCTGAAATGAAATATTATAGCCAGCACCTTTACCTCATAAATCATTGTTTGATTTCAAATGTAGTATGGAACCAACACAACTCAAAAGGTGTCATTTGCCAAAGACTGCACTTGAAAACAAACACACACACATGTAAACTTATATAGAAACGAACACTATGACATTAATATAAAACTAAACACTCCTTCAGAGGTTTGCGTTATTGATCACAGTGTGCGCAATGGCAAGGGAAAAAGTGTCCGTGGACCAAAATAGCAGCAATTGCTTCATATCACTCCAATCACAGAAGTCAGTGAACTGGGAATTTGAAATGTAAACAAATATTGAGAGCTGGGTTAGTGGTTAGCTCACATGCAATGACAGACAAATAGGCCAGCGGTCACTTTGCTTTTCAAAACAATTTCACCAATAATAATACACCGTTTGCACACTGCACTTTTCCTGCTACTTTTCTGTATTTTAGCCTTGCCCTCCTGTCAATTTCCTTGACCCGCAACAAATGGAAATGTCATACAGACTGACATTCTTTCCGTATGCTTTCGTTTCGCCCACTTGGCAGCCAAATGGAAAGCAGATCTGGCTCAGTCTGACCGCAGATTGTTCCTCCAAAATAAAACAACCACCAAATGAAATCACAAACATTTCTGTGGCTAGCCTGTGGAATGTGGCGGAAAAAGTGTATACAAAAATATCATCTGGGGTGTTAGTTGAGAGAATTTAGACTTCAGAATAAACTTTATTGTTAGACTTGAGTTGTTTTACTGTGTCTGAAAAAGTGTGTTTAATTCCCTGAACATATGGTTTTCTTGTGTGCATTTGGAAGGTGTCTTTGTCCCATTCATACAAACTCTACCTGTGTATGCCAGTTTTTAGTTATAAATGCTACCCAAAATTGCTAACCAATCATTTTTAATCACAAATGATTGGCGGAAAAGCCGTCTTTTTAGAATTAAATGTTTAACGCTATGTTCTGCTCGCACTACCCTTACATTAGAGAGCTGTGTGTAGATCTGCATGTGTAGTCCCCCTTGTATTGTGCTTTATTTGTCAGCTGTGTAAGTGTAGTAGAAGTGTTTTATTTCTGTGGTTCCTTGTCATGCCAAAAGGCAGTTTTTGTTACGTTGTTGTTATTTTGTTTTTCTTCTTTTTTTGTTTCCTTCCTTTCTTTCGTTTCACTGTCATTTCCATTTCAACCCCTTTCCTCTCCTCGACCCGTTCCTTTTCGGGCGCCTCTGCGTGACTTTTCTCTCACCCACTCCCACACTGCCACTGTCTCCTGCCCCTCCCTGTCTCGCTGCACCCAAACCTCCCTCCACCCTCCTCCTCTAAACCCAAAGATGTAGCCCTGCCCTCTTTCCCCCCCCCCTCACTGACTCCTAACACTACTGACCATGTAACGCCAGGCTCCGGAGGTGTAGCCGGTCCAGCGGGGCCCTCCCCCTCCGCCCCTCGAGACGTCGTGGCTTCGCTGGTCTCCACTCGCTTCATCAAGCTGACCTGGCGCCCGCCAGCCGAACCTCACGGAGACGAGTTAACCTACTCTGTGTTCTACAGCCAGGAGGGCACCAGCAGGTAGTACACACACTAAACTGTAGTACTGCCAGGAGGGTACTAATACACACATTACTGCTGCAGTCGGCAGGGCACCATGCATACCAGACCACTCTGGAAATGCCTAATTAAAGCACTTATCATAGCACTAAATGTTAATTAATTAAAAACAAACTTCCTTCCTCAAAGGATTACCTTTTTTTACATTCAAGTATAAACAAAACAATTCAGTCCAAACACTCTCTTTAAGCAGCTCTGTGATAATTTCCCCCAGCGTCTTGTGGAGAGGATTTACTGTGTATGATTCAGGAGGAAATTAAAGAAGCTGAGAGGATTTTCCACAATTACTCTTCAGCATTTTGGCTACGTTTTATTTCCCTATGAAATGAAGTCATTCTCAGAAGTGGCCTAATACATAAGAAGTGTTTACTCTGAGCTACAGTTACAGATGTAAATGCATATATAAGTATCTATCCGTATACATGGATGGTACAAATAATGTTTACACTAACCACATGTGCCATTTGCCTCAAACAAACAAATGGTTAATGCTGTAGAGACAGATGAGTGCTAATATGCTCATCATTATTCAATTACTTGATTGATTGATTAGTTAATGGACAGAATAATGAGTCATTTATCAAACATTAGCTGTTTTCTGCTTTCCAAGTCTGAGGATTTGCTTTGAAATACAATCAAAGATTATATCATTCATTTAGTACCCAACACTATTCATTTGTAAACTTAAAATGTGTTTTTTACACTCTTAAATGTATGTAAGAGTTAAAATGTTCTGTTGCTGTGCACGTGTGTGTGTGTGTGTGTCCATCAGGGAGCGGGTAGTGAATACCAGCCGCCCCGGGGAGATGCAGGTCACCATCCAGAACCTCATGCCAGACTCCAAATATCGCTTCAGGGTTGTGGCCCATAACAGCAACGGGCAGGGAGAGAGCTCTGCAGCGCTCAAAGTGGCCACCCAGGCTGAAGGTAAAGACACACACATACACACACGGTCATTTATATGTGTTCAGTAAACAGGAAACATAAACATAAAGGCAGTTGGTTGGGAACATGCTCACACTGGCACACTGATGCAAACAGGATGCACTCAAAAGAAGCTCACAAATGTGCAAATAAACATTCTCACAAACAAATATTCACTCACATACAGCAACACCAAACACACACACGGGCAGTCACATAGAGGCTGTTTGGTGTTGTGTGTTAAGGCAGACCACCCACACCAGAGGAATACAGCGTTTTCATAAGCCTCTTCATATTTATGCCCCAACATTTACTATAATCCCTGTGTGTGTGTTGCTTTGAACCAGGCCTACCTGATCAGGGAATGTTTGAAATTAGTATTCCAGTCTTTTATCTGAAACACTTTCCTCTGCCGGTCTGCACAGAGATGCTGTACAGAAGCTCATTAGGATGTTTAAAGTGGAGGACACACACGAGTTCTTGAGGAGAGAGAGGGCGAAGTGGTTCTTCTTTTCTCTTTGTGTCTGGGTGTGTAATTCTTCCCATGGCTGCTGCTGTTTCACCCACATTTAAAATTGCTGTAAAGGGGGTTTCCCAGCACACTGTCAGGGTGGACGTCCCCCACCTCTGGGCTCAGCCGCAGCTCAGTCACTGTCACTTTGTAGGTCAGCCGCCGTTACTCTACCTGTGTCCTTGGTTGGAGGGCGGACGGATCGACACACACACACACACACACACACACACACACACACACACACACACACTGCCTGTTAATGCCTAGACACCCGTGGGGATAGCAGTGAGGGTGGGCTGTACCTGGGCAGTATATCTCTGTCGTGTGCGTGCACTTTTAGTGTGAGAACATGCTACGAATGGGAGCTTAAACTCTTGACCTGCACCTGAGTGCCAGGTGTGTGCACACATCTCTGCAGCTGCCGTACCGACGACGTACGTACGTACGTACGACACACACACACACACACACACACACACACGACACACACACACACACACACACACACACACACACACACACACACACACACACACACACACACACACACACACACACACACACACACACACACAAAGGGGAGCTTCTGTCTTCAATATCAGATATTTAAGGTACAGACACATATCTCTTTCTGTGTGACTTTAACCTTATAGTCAATGTTTAATTTAAAATCTAATTTGGCACAGTACAAAGACAACAGGAAATGACACCACTGTCCATATACTCTCTGAGTTTCTCTGCAGTACTGGAACCAGCTGCTTACGAGGTTCATTCCCATCCTCCTTACCAGACATTATTATTGGGTTAGGACAATTAAACTACTGAAAAACAAAGATGACTTTTTACCTTTTAAACTGGCCAAATTATCTCTTACATGTTTTATATCTTGTTTGATTTTGACCATCATATCTGTATGTTTCTCACATTTTAGGTACTTCTTGGTAGTAGCAGCATGTCACAACCTTTTAGGGACGTGATAGATATTTGTTTATCTGGAAATGAAATAAGATATTTGCTTGGATGTTAAAGTGCTAATGGTCTGCTATAATTTAAAAGTGTTTACATTTGCCACAGTGTAGGAATAATAGCCGAGTAGTTTAATTCTCACTCCCATAATCTAAGTGGAAGTAAAGAAATCTGAGACATTAACGTTAATGTTTGTGTTCTCATTCGTTTTTTTTAAGATGTCAGATCCTTTAAAAAGTTTAAAAGATATAATATTCGCTGCAAAATTAACACAGTGCCAAGTTTAAAGCCTCTACTTTAAGATGTTAAACCACATTCCTCAACAAGATTTACATATCTGCCCTTTTCTATTTATTTCACAAGACATATAACTGATCCACAGACAAGTTATAACTCAATCTCTTTCTAATCCTGCCCCTTATTTTGAATAACTACACGCAGTTAGATAAACAGTCTAGCGTACTGAATATTAGCCTGAGGCAAATGTTGGTGTAATGCGATATGCACATTGATGTTTTTGTTGAGGCGCACCTTCAGTTTGTTTGTCATGGCAATAACAAGAAAATCTACATGGCTGTCAGCCCAGTCCGGAGGGAATCGCTCTCCTCGGAGCCGTCTTGGCCTCAGCTCTAGCTCACACAGGGAAATGAGGCTTTAGAGGAGCCAAGAATGGGTTTCTGGCAGCAAAAAATGGACATGCTAAATTGATCTCCTGTTTTCCAGATGCATAAAAATGCACAAGAAAAATGGAGAGGGCTCAAGATAAAACAAAACACAATTGTCATGTTTGATTGTTTTCTAATCTCTGCTCTCCTGCTTCAGTTCAAGTGCCCGGTCCTGCTCCGAACCTGCAGGCGGTGTCCAACACGCCCACCTCCGTCTCTCTGAGCTGGGACAAACCCATCACTGGCAACGGAGAGATGCTCACCTACAAGGTGTTCTACACAGACAAAAGCTTTGACAACGAACAGGTAGGAAATAGTCTTCCCTCACTCAGCTATAATGTGTGATAGCAGAAAGGGATCTGAGACTTTTACACTTTTCAAAGAGTAGTTACAAAGTGCTGCACACAGAACAACAGATGTAGAAACAAGACAATAAAAGGCTTGATGGAAAAAATATATAAATAAAAATAATCCAGAAATCAGATAAAACATGTAAAATCCAGATATAAATTCAGATGTAATGTACTTATTTTTTAAAGGACTTTAAACGGGTGTAGTATTTCCTAGATTACATTTTTTACTTGTGTTTTTCCTTCTTTTTATTGATTTCTTATTGTTAAAAGTTGGATAGTTTCAGTGAACATCATTGTCTCATTTCTTGTACCTTGTAAGAGGAGAGGTACTTCCTGTAGCTGCTGCTTGCTTTTGCGGGGTTCATTAGATACAAATAATTTCACTTCCTAGACTAATGTAAATTGTGATGAGGTAAGGCGTTCCTAATCATTAGCTTAAAGACTCTTTGTACTGCTTTTTGGCTACATTCTTGATTATGCATCTCACACAAAATGCGTATTGTGCAAAAAAAAGGAAATATGATTCACCGAGTTGTTCTCTGCAGGTCTAACTCCGTCACAGGAGTGGAATTCAGATGCTTAGATATTGAGTCAGCCCCAGCAGTAGCGGTGTGCAAGCCAGTGAGGCATTAAAAAGCCTTTAATATGATAATGGGTGAAACGTCATCCAGCGTACTGAGTAATGGCACTTCAGTTCCCTCGAGAAGAGAGCCAGAGATGAGGTGAAAAAGGCAAGAGATTAAGAGAGGGGTGGAAAGAAAGAGGTGAAGGAATGGGACGGAGCACAGACGAAAATAGAAAGATACAGTGCTGAAAGGAGATGAAATATTAAAGGACAGGGGGAAGTCAGGGACAACCTCTGATGCCTCTTCCAGGGTGAAGTGGTCACAAGCGATCATATGCCTCGAGGTCAGAGGTTGTGATTGAAGCGCTTCGGAAGCAAAATTCGATTTCCACTTAGTCTCCGCCTTTCTACTCCAAATGTCACAAGCGGAGAGACGAATGTAAATTGGCCTGAAGTAGAGTTTTGATCACACAGAGCATAAGTTGTTTCTCTGTCTTGGATGTTATTTATATACACAGAATCACAAACTGAGATATTGGTTTCATGAAATGATGAACACAGGAGGCAACGCATTTGTAGCTTTGCCTCATCCTAGGCTTTTAAAACTATTGGAACTGGTTTTATTTACTCATGTTTGTGCCAATATCAAACTTGAAAGCTAAAATTACACAATTCTGAAAATGTTGTTGGTATAGAACTAGTCATATTTGCAGCACTTTACTTCATTTGTTCTATTTAGCACAGTCACCTAAGAAAATATATTTGTATTAATTCCTATTTATAAATGATGTTATATTTTTAGTATATTCAAACATACTTTCTTCTCTTTCCTCCCTCCTTTTCTTTCAGGACGTTGACGTTGACATTCAGTCCTACACCATGACAGGCCTGAAGAAGAACACAGAGTACAGTTTCCGTGTGGTGGCCAACAACAAGCACGGGCCGGGGGTCTCAACTGACGATGTGGCCGTTCGCACTCTGTCTGATGGTCAGTATCTTAATGAAGAGAGTCTCTAACAAGACTGCCTTTGGTTTATGACATGTCCTGATTGACGTTAACATCCTTGTCTGTGTGTAAAATGTTATGGATGGCTGTACATTTGAGTAATCTGCAGTATGCTGTAAATGTATATCCAGCTAGATACATCTTTACAGTGAACTGTTCATTTTCATTAGATTAGAGCTGTGATTAACCAATTAGTTCACAAGCATTTAACCTGCAAATAATGTTCTACATGAATCAATTAATCCTTTAGTCTGTCAATTTTGGAAGACATGATGAATCTCAGTTGATGCTTTCAAATGGAATGCTTTTTTTCAGAGCAACACTCAACCTAAGGTATCTTTTTTACTGTAAGGCAAAGACAAGCAGCTTATTTAAAAATAGAATTTGTGTTAATTACCCGCTAATTAAAATACTCACCCTCAGTGTGCTATGTTTCTGTGAAGAAAATAAATGTTCTGTATTCTTTTGTTTCACAGTACCCAGTGCTCCTCCTCAAAACCTCACCTTGGAGGTTCAGAACTCAAAGGTAAGAAACAGTTTGCATGACGTGTAACCAGTCTAGATTTGTCCCTTCTCTTATTGACGTCTTAAAAGCTTTCACGCATGTTGTACAGACTCCCTCAGATGCCAACATAAAAATGCACCTAAACTGCCTGCAGCTAGACTGAGCTTCGGTCCACGGTGTATGCAGCCGCTTCACAAAATCCACACTCACGCACACACACACACAAACAGTTGAACAAATACAGAACGTAGCCTGAAGGCCAGCACACCGTTGTTTCTCTGTGTGATCAGCCGTGTCACAGGCCTGTTGCCCCAGCTGGTTAAGATGGAGTGTGAACCCTCATCGATCCTCTCATCGGCAGGAGAGCCGCCTGTCAGAAGGTGTTATCCTCTGGATCACTCTCCCTTTGTACAGTATCTGGCAGAGAAGCCTGCAGTCATTTCCCATTTAAAATATATGTTTTGGTGGCTTTTGACTGACAAATCTATGCTAAATGTGATGCTATGTGCAAAGCTAACGTAGTGACAGCCATTTCAACCTGTTGGTTAGCATGTTTTTAGGTTAAATGAAATACACTCACAATAGATTTCTTGGGAGAGTAGTGTTCAGGCTTCACAGCTCTTGATTCAGACCAGAAACTGACCTCAGCTGGAGGTCTCTTCAACCATTTCATCTTCAGACAGAGAGCTGCAGGTCTTTTGTATATTTCCACTTGAATGATGGATTACATTTGATTTTTAAAGAGTTTCTCACTCATGACACGAGACAGCAAGTAAAAACAGAAGTGAAGGAGATGCTGAAAACTGTGAGCTGCATGCATTGACTACAAAAGCAGCAGCCAGCGCTTTTAGCCCTTCAATGCAGAACCAGAATTACAGAAAACTGTCGTTGAAACTAGAAAAGGAAACTGGTAGAGAATCCTATCACACACTTCCAGCTTGAGCAAGAACCGGCCACCCATGCTGAGGGATACTCAGCTGAGATGAATGGAGAGAAAGCCCTAATGTAATGTTAAGAGTAAAAATGAGAAAGAGCCGCTCTGTGGGAACGATAGGGATTGTATTTCTGAATGGCTAGTGTACGTCCAGCTGTCCCCTCCCAATCACACACAGACAAATCCCTTCAAAGCTGCAAAACAAACATCTGGCATCATTTATTCCCAAGCATTATTGAAATTAGTTAATCTAATATTTTCTCTTTGTTGTCATTGTGTTTAATTCTGAATGTAAACAGTCATTAAGTCAACAATCCTGGTGCGAGTATATAGATGCAAATCATTTATGCAATTAGCTTTTTCGATACGCCCCGCCAAATGGAACCAAGGGAAAGAAAACGAATTAACATTTATTATTTATTCAGCCTCCTCTTTGGGCCTTGTCAAGCTGAACGGCACATCTTTACCCTGCAAGGCAACCCCGAGAACATTGTCTTTATGATCTTCTTCTGCACCTTTTCCCTGTGAATTTTCCAGAAGTCAATTAAAAAGGTTTCCATGGCTATGGAGAACAAGGGGGAGATGAGGAGTTGGGACTGAAAGTGTAAGAACAAAAGTGGAATAATTGAACACACTTAACACAAATGTAATTTGCTCAATTCCCTTGACTTGGCTGTGGAGGAACTCCTGTGTGTGTGCCCTCCACATGTATTCAGGCTTTTGTGCATCAGTGTGACAGTGAGAAAGCGTTAATTAACTCTTCTCCCACACAGGGCTACCCCCCACCTATCTCTTTAAATACACACACAAAAGCTCAGATTCATGAATCCCTCAACAGTGTTTGCTCGCCAGCCTGCGTTCCTCTCTCTGCAGGGTTAACCTGACGACAGTTACACATGCACACCCTACTCATCAGGACACCTCCCTCTATTATTCATGTGTTTATTCCTTCCTAATGCGTCAATCTGCACTGCGTCACCCTTGCTCAGAGGGATGTTTGTTTTATCACGGCCCTCCCATTTGCACCACAGTCAGGAGGAGAGGGGAGAGGTGGGAGAGACCTTGTGTTTCTGGTCAACAGAACAGTAAACCTGCAGAGTTACGTTTACACAAGTGTCTGTGCCAAAGTGTGTGTGGGAAGGTGTGATGCTAAACAATGAGGTCATCTTCACAGCTGCAGGCTCAAAACCAGACATTTCCACATATGCAGGTTTAAATTTAATCCACCTTCACTTTTTTCCCTCCTTCAGAGCATCATGCTTCGGTGGAACCCCCCACCCCTTAGTGACCAGAATGGGGAGATCACCGGCTACAAGATCAGATACCGGAAAGGTTCCCGTAGGAGTGAAGCAGCCGAGACCACCGGAGGCACCCAGCTGAACAAGATCATTGACGGTAATAGACACTGGCTTGGCTCAACTATAGTTGCTGACGTCAAAATTAAACTCTACCTGCTGTAGCATCGCCCTCACATGTTCACAACATTTTGTATTTGTTGTTTTAACTTTTTTTGATTGACTCAATTCTCGTTTAACAGCTTTGCAAGTTGCTGTGAATGTGTTGCATTTATAACTTTTTTTTTATATTGAAGCTAGTTAGCTCCCGTTACAACAAGCACTTTACATGTTTGTTCAGAGATGGAGAGCAGTTCACACATATCATATAAATGCATTTTAAATGCATCCTACTGTAGTTAACAATGTTTCCTTTGCTGCTCATATCTGGGGTTTTATGTGTCCACACTTGTATTTAGAGCTGTCCACTTGTCCACTGAGTGTGTGTTTGATGCTGGGTGTGATCAGGGTCATAGGAATAATGATAGGACTGAGGGTTTGTGCTCTTTACTAAGAACACAGCTCCACACATCCACAATTTCCCATTTGATCCTACATACAGGTCCTACATCAAAACCCTTATGCTATCACACTCCATTTGACCTCTGCTGCATGTATCTGTCAATTAGTTCTGACATGCTACAATATTTAAAATCTTGATCTTCAGATTCAAGACATGTCTGCGTTGATGTTTGGAGTCGGTCTGTCTGTAATTGTGTTTGTTTATCTGCATTTCATCTGAACACTTTGAGAGGGTCTCATGTCTTACTGTACCGTAACGTTACCCGCTGCTACCACAAAAACATCAACAGAGACACGCTGCACTGGTGATTAATATTAGATGTTGTCTCAGCAACTTTCAAGTGGCCTGACGTCAAGCTGTGTGCTGCATCAAAGAGAATATACACTTAAAAGTAAATTTTGGGGAAGATTCTAGGGGGGGAACAGTGGGGTGTTTGTTGGTTCAAAAGCGTTTAGAAGAAGATGTTGTAGCCTTGGAGGCATGGATAGTTAGGCAGTCTTCAGAAGCAACCCCCCAAGGGCGGCCCAGAATAGTGGGTACAAAAAAGAAAAGGCGGCAGGATTAGCATGTAGCGATGATGACAATTTTTACAGCAAATTAAAAAAGCAACCCCTCATTTGTCAGCAGGCTCTCCTCTCTTATGTGCATTTTAAAGTTGGCACCCAGCAGTGAATCAACTCTGAAGGAGAGGTAGCTTTAAAATATTAACCAAACTCCAAAAGATTTCTGTGTTACTTTTCTGTGCTGGCTTCTTTTACACACTTTTCTCTTTTACTTTTCTTAATGGTAAATAAATCTTTATCCACCAAAGCATATAATCAAAGGTAAAAAAATAAATCTCACTCCTGTGATATCGAGTTGAAAAGAAAATGAATTGCACAGAAACCCTCACGTAATCCTTCCCCAGGTTAACTTATAGATTTCTCCTTAAATTGTGCAGAGGAATAGGAAATCTGTTTAAAATATGCGTTTCTTTCCAAAAATGTATTGTTTCTGCAACTTGAAACCCCAAATTACCAGCCAAGTTGACAGCAGCAGTAAATTATGAAATAAAATCAGGTTTTAGAGGGAGAGAGAAGATTTAAAGAAAGACTTTTGTTGCTGCTTGAAATTCAGATCAACCACAGCTCAGTCTAAATACTCTGAATCTGACCGGCTTGTGTTTCCTGTCCAGGTTTGGAGCGTGGGACTGAGTACTCCTTTCGGGTGTCGGCCATTACTGTGAACGGCACAGGGCCGGCCACCGAGTGGACCACAACTGAGACGTTTGAGAGCGACCTGGATGGTAAAAATCATCTGCTTTACTCAATATGTACAGACTAAACTAGGTTTGGGATTTATGTTTCCAACCTTTTTCAGCATTTAATTACCCATTTTGCACTCTGAAATTGTAAAAACATACTTATAAGTTATTATTTCATGTATTTCCTTTGCTAGAATCCCGTGTACCCGACCAGCCCAGCTCTCTCCACGTCCGGCCGCTGGTCAACAGCATCGTGGTGAGCTGGACGCCTCCAGAAAACCAGGACATTGTGGTGAGGGGCTACACCATCGGCTATGGCATCGGTAGTCCCCATGCCCAGACCATCAAAGTGGACTACAAGCAGCGCTACTACACTATCGAGAACCTCTGTAAGAACATGTTGTGCATCTTCATTCAAAAATTGCCGTAATGCTTGTGTTCTGTTTTTACTGAAATATTAATTTGTCACACAACATCATGACATTGAAGAATCTCAGCTGATTTGTCAAGTAGCTCTGTTTCAGATAGTAATGAGAGCGTGGGGACAAATGCGTCATAAACTAAAATGTCGACATTTAGAAACATTACTGTGATTGTCCTACTTAGAAATAGAACTAACTAGTTATGTGACATTTGAATAACAAATGAGAAAACCCTCACAAGACACACAAACAATATGAAGCAGCTCATCTGTGCCTCATAGAGAGCATTTACAGAATTAATGAGATCTTCTCCACCACACGCCTTAGCCGTTAATTATACAGATTGGCCTAATGGGGACACGATAATTAGGGGTCAAAATTATTTAAATCAAACCAAATTGTTTTGGTGGTATTAATTATTGCTGTCATAAAAGAAAAGGAAACATAGCATTAAAAATCTACCTTAGTAAAATATTCTGCTGGTTCCTACTGTTGCATAAGAGACCTTTCTCTGCATAGGATCAGTCCAACCTTTGAGAAACTGACATATATATGCATACATGTTACCAGTATGGAATTTTGGAGGAGAATTATCTACTAATAGAACTCAAGAAATCGATGTTTTGATATTTCTTATATCAGCAATAGGTAGTGATTTTGCTTCGTTTGACAGCAAAACACACATTTTGCTCCATAGTTATTTCTTTGTTTCCACCATACCCATTATGTAGGTCAAACTCAATAATATACAATTAATACTCCAGTAATCTAAGCTTCAGAAAGGGTCAGAGTTAGATCATAATAATCATATTAAATGGAGATATTTAGGAGGAAAAGTGTTGCAGAGTATCTATGTATGCATAATTGAAGCCCTTATTACAATCACAGTAAGAGGAGGATTGTGTCCAAACACTCATTCTGGCCAATATCGTAATTATCAGTGGAGGGTCTCGAGAGGTTGGGCTTGATCATTTATCTCGCTCTTCCTGTGTCTCTCACCATGCTCTTTCTTAACCTCTCTCTATCACTCTCTCAGTCCCCAGCTCCCACTATGTCATCACCCTGAAGGCTTACAATAACGTGGGTGAGGGGATCCCGGTGTACGAGAGCGCCATCACCAGACCGCAGTCAGGTAAGACCACACACATCCACACATCTCCATGCCGACCTTAAATCTCTTATCATTCGGTACACTGCAAATGGTAGCATCCTCAATCCTGTGAACTGTCCTCTTTTGCTCAAACACAACGGACGTTACATTCAGTATCATGGGATGCACTCGCACTGTATGGCTTTAGTCTTGGTCTCACAGTTATCTCCGCACTCTCTAATCTGAGATCATTATCAGGCTGAATTTGTCTCGACTCCAAGTTACCAAGGAGATAACGGGTCATCTGGCTTTCACTGCTCTAATTAATTCTCTCCTTAATGACTCCCCGTTTACTTGAGTCTCTTTTTAATCAAAATTTTAAGGCCCTGAAATGTTGCCCTTACATTACCAGATGTCCCCGGTTGTCAGGGAATAATGTTCCAATATATTGAAGGTGCACATATCCAACAACAAAGAATGGAATAAAGAAATATTATTGGAGAACCTCTTCAGGTTTTACACAACTTTATTTTTCCCAAAAAGGATAATACATTAGCAGCTTTAACAAATGTATATACTCAACTTCAAAACTCTCAGGTAAGGTACAGTATATATGAGAGGCAACAGATCAACATACATTCACAAATATGTTATAAGGAGTTATAATAAATAACCCACACTGGATTATAGCTCACCAACTTAATCAGTCTAAACAGGCAATTTTTTTTTTTACTTTTTAGTAGAGCCTAACAGATTTAGTGGCGTAGGTGTAAGTAACAAGCAATGGCAGAACTACTATTATATTTAGAGTCACTACTAATGTCTACAAAAGAGCCTTTACAAGTTAATTTTTCAATCAGAAAAAGTTTGGCTGAACACATCTTAATTACAAAATAGCTACAAAACAATTTGTCACTGTTTTAGATTTGCATGAACAATGAATATCAACCTAAATAAGGTAATTGGATTTATTGTTATAATGAAACAGCTTTGTCGCATCGGGCAAATAATATGAGGAATCGAGTTTGGCTGCCAGCCCCAGACTCTGTAATTCTTTAAGCCCCAGCTCACAATTAGAAGAGGAAGTTAAGTCTCTCTGCAGAGTGCCTGACAAATGATCTTAAAACGAGAAAACACTGCCAGTTAGACTGCATGTTAGTGGAGTTCACAGAGTTTATGTGACACTGTCAGAAGACAACCAGCCCATGCTCCCTGGGGTGTCCCCCGAATGTGGGCTGCACCTCCCTCGTCTCCCATCCTGCCCACCCCCGCCCCCCCATGAAGCCTTGATCACTGCAGTTCATCTCTGCAGCAGCACCATTGCACCGCCGTGCGGGAGGGGTGGGATGCTGGATGACATGAATCCTGTCAACATGCTTCGAGGGGGGGTGGCAGTCTTAAGTGCGCGCACACCCACACACTGTCACACTGTACCCTTCTCTGTACGAAGCCCTCTCTTCCTCACACACACTCGCAGACCCCCTGTGGTGTTCTTGGCAACCCTTCGTCAGATCCAAACGTTTCCTCTCAAAGCAGAACCAAAGCCCAAAACCATCGTCTGCTGCTGCGGAATCTTCTGGGGCGCGTTCCCTTCCTGCCAGTTTGTTCAAGTCGGTATTAAAAAGACGAGCTGACCTACATAGCACTTTAACTTTTGAAAAAGAAGGAGAAACTTGGTGAACTTCGGTTGAGAGAGTGCTGGGTTGAATATGTTATAATAACATGGCGCCTTTACTTAGGAGCAGGAAATTAGGAATTGCATCCGGACCTGTAACATAATGTTACCAGGGCAACTCTTTCCTGCACCCTGCTCTACTGGTTAACACTGGAGACTGTACTCCTCAAATCTGGGTACAGAAATGCAGCTTGCATGCCACTCCAAAAACCGCAGTGTCTCTCCATAACCACACGAATGCTGGGTGCTCATCATGCATTGCACACACACTCTGACTCTGACTGGGGAATGTAATGAGGGCAGCTCTGTACAAAGAGGTGTCAAATGGAGCGAGGCAGAGAGGAGAGGACCAACAACTGGTCAAGGAGGAGAGTCATCCTGGGTGACTGAGAAAATATTGACATTTACCAGTTTTGATACAACTGGAATCAATACATGAGAATGACTATAAAACTATTCTGTGTCCTTGACTCCCCAAAAATATAATACAAAAAGCCTGTGGTATTCATTTAATTGATTGGCTTATTCAACAAGGAAACCGCACATTACTAAATGTTTTGTAGTTGTACCAGAGTTTGCCAAAAGGCTCAGATGTGAAGCACAGACACACATGAAACCACCACTTGACCGTGACCCTCCTCTCTGCCTGCAGGCTTCCTCACTTAAAGCCTCTGCATTCTTTCTACAGTTTTCAGGGACATAATGCAGCCTTTTAGATGTTACTCTGCAAAGAGGAACATTTTTCAGTAAATCCCGAGTCCGTCTGTTTATCCACTTTGCATTCAAATGTTGGGAACAGGTCCACGATGTAAACACGTCAAAACACATGCCAGTACCTCCTTTCTCTGAAGAGAGTGTGTTAACACTTAAATATGTGAGCTTGAAAATGTTGGCTGTAGGATTGTGGTTATCTGCTTTCTGCCTAGTTTTCCATTTACTGCAATCTTTTCTTATGAATAGAGTTTTCCATTCTCTCTCTGTAGTATATAGCAGCTCTTGATAGAAAAATGCTGTATAGTAGTTTCTTTAAAGCACCGGCTCTGTAGATTTGTCTTATTGTAGAGGTCTGTGTCTGTTTTTCTAATAGAATCTTCTCTCTCTCTCTTCATCCTTCCCAATCCCATCCTTGTTCCACTTATCTGTTTTCTCCCTCCCTCTTTATTTAAACTCATTAACCATATTTTCTTCTATTTGTTCCTCCCTGCATCCTTGTTTGACTCCACTGTCCGATCCGCCACGCCTTTTCCTTTATGTTTTAATGTTGGTCATTTTAATTTGTGTGCATGCATGCGGGTTTCCTGCCATAACATGCAGACCCCATAGACCCCGATGTTGACATGTCTATCAACTATCATGCTCCATACACCCCAGTACCAGACCCCTCTCCCATGATGCCGCCTGTGGGTGTTCAGTCCTCCGTGCTGAGCCACGACACCATCAAGGTGACCTGGGCCGACAACTCGCTGCCCAAGAACCAAAAGATCACAGATAACCGCTTCTACACCGTCCGCTGGAAGACCAACATCCCTGCCAACACTAAAGTGAAGGTAAGAGCTTCATGTTCCTGGTTTAATGTGTGTAGATTACCTAAAATCATTGCATAAAAAATACTTTTCCTCAAATTCTTATTGTAAATCTAATTGAGAAATATTTTCTCATAAATTGAAGCCCCAGTTTAATTTTCTCATTTGTTCTGGTTTAGCTCAGCACTTTAAAGCTCAAGTAACTTATTTACGACAGTCAAATTCATTGAAGTAAAACTTGAATCATCTCAGTCTGATCAAACTCTAAAAATGCGCCTTCATTTAATACAGTACGATTTCTGTGTATTTTAGTGCTGTGGGACTTTGTGCCTCCCGCTGCGCCTACACTTACCAGAGAGATGTATTGATGTGCTGAAAATGAAAAGCAATGTCATACAGATATATAATAAAGTATTCCCACAGCAGCTCCCAAGCACAGTGGCAGCATAATGCCGATGTTTGTAACCAAGCAATAATCTATTTTCATCCGGCTTTGGAAGCACTATAAAGAGAAGAAGTCTGTTTCAACTGAGAACATCTCCCTCAGAATTAAGTGTAAAGGCGTTTGTCTTCATAAAGTTGTAGGCTGAATAAAAATCTCATTGCTCTCCATTCGCGTTAAATGTGGCTGACAACTCAGTTAACTCAATAACTTATTATTATAGTTTATTATGTTTAAGTCTCTTTTTAGTGACTCTAGAGTTGTAGGGCTGCAATTGATAATTGATTGATTGTCAGTAATATCCTGTAAGATCACTGTCCTGGTTGATTTGGCATCTTCCATATGAACAGTGGCTACAGCAAGTGCAGTAATATCGTTTATCACAGCAAAGGCTCTTAAGCAGCTTCTTTGTTAGATATTCAACAGAAAATGTTGTGCATGTTGTTTTCTATACACCTCTTCCCTCCCAACTTTCCAATAATGGCAAAAGTGTTTTTTATGGCTGCATGTATGTATGCAAACATGTGACCTAGCAAAGCTCTGATAAAGGCCTACGTTGACTGATAAATTATTCAACAAGGACAAGAGAATCTAAGAACTAGGAAAAGAGTCTGTAGATCTGACAGTGCATTCTCCATCTAGCCAACTCAGAAACACACGCACATATACACCAGACACACACACACACACACATACATACACACACACACACACACACACACACACACACACACACACACACACACACACACACACACACACACACACACACACA